AGAGAGAGAGAGAGAGAGAGAGAGAGAGAGAGAGAGAGAGAGACCCAGAAAACAGTCGGCGCACTATGGCAAGATGAACACGATAAACATGTACGACATAATAACTGTAGCCAGGACAAAACCATAGACCTGTCCGTATGATGTAACTTGCGCGTAGACGTAAACCGGAAAGCAGAGTGCACACGCCGGCTTCGTGGTCCTTGGCCTGCCAGTAACTCTGTCGGAGTCCAGGGATCACGAAGCAGGCAAAATATTGGAAAATTTCGACAGATTTTAAGCGATCCATTACTGTACAAAAAGGAAAAAAAAGAGGGGGAAAAAAAAGGGAGCTGGAGAGAGAGAAAGAGACGGGATGGGTGGTGGTATTTGCATTTGGGGGAGGGACAGTTTTAAATTATCTGTACTGCTGGCCGAAAAGTGGATTCTGAAACTTTACAAGCTACCCACTATGGGGTATTGATGATTTGTCCATCTGTGGCAACCCTGCAAACATTTTCTATAATATAATAATATTGTTCTGTTTTGACCTAGTTTAATCTGGATTGTTCCGTGCGAAATGATATCCCGTCATTTTTTAAATATTTTTTTTATAATGAAACCATCGACATCTTTTGGGGTGCATTAAACAATATTAAGTTTCAGAGGTATGATCGTGGCATCGGTAGCTTGGCGTTAAGCTACCGGCCACGTAATTGTGAGATTGCAGGTTCGGGTATTCGAGCCTCAGTTCGGTCCGACGTTGTGTCCTTGAGAAAGACACTTTACATGAACTTCCCACTTGGCTCAGTCTTTTCGGAGCTGGACGTTAAACTCGGAGGTCGCGCCTCTTAAATAACATCATTGTGTTGATAGGAGCGTAAAGCCTATACAATTCCACCAATTTCAGTGGTAAGATCTTACTGATAGAAATTCCACAATTAGGCTAAGCTCATACTACAGTGAGTGACCGGTTCCCGATTGGTAACCTTTATAAGATGGCATTCCACTTGACGGTGTAGCTAGTTTTAGTCTTAGTTTTAGTAAGTATCATAAACACTTGCAACAAAACAACTCATAATATGCTCGTAAGAGCTGAAGATTAGAGCTGTGACAAGAGAGTAGCATTCACAAAGAAGGCGGGAAATTAAGACATTAGATGGTAGATAGGAGAGATCGAAGGATCAAACCATACCACAGTCTGATTCTGCTGTGCAAAACCGTTAGAGTTGTTTGGGTCAACAGGGCATAAAATAACATCTGCCACTAAAAGTTTGGATTAAAATTATACGGGGAGCCCACTACGGATGGGATCGGTCGATCGGGCCGATCGCCCGACTCGATCGCATCAAAAACAAACGTGTTTCAGTTTCAGGT